TGTTCTTTACAGGTAATAATTACACGATTCAAAAACATACGTACTATATGCATGCAATTTTTTTGACGAAAGGACGAGACTTTCAAACTCGCTTAGTTCATTTGTAAAGAACAGTCAACCATATATAATGTTACTTATTGTTACACGATTACACTCCGATACAGTTATGAATTTAAAAAAAAGAAAAAAAAGTAAAAATTAAAACTCTGATCTTCGCAGAAGAACAGACAGAGAATCCAAGATTCTCGAGACTGTCCAATTTGCACAATTAGCTGGAGGTGCACGTTCCACTTGAAAATTCCTCGTGTGCTTCCGAAAAAGAAAAAGAAAGAAGAAAGGAGAGGAGAAAGAAAAAAAAAAAGGAAGAGAATTCGAACGAACGCAACTGTTCTGCTTACCATTTATTCCTGCGTGCGGCATGAAACACAGAAAGAGTATACGTAGACGCGGCTGTTCCACGGTAAATAGGTCGTAGCTCCGTTTTAAAGACAATGGACTGACGTCGTTTCGCTTACGATTATATTACGAAACGCGGCGATAATGGCTTGTCACGCGGCAGGATACGCGAGTTATCGCGGCGACGGTTTCGAAGATCGATCGTTTCCCGGCTGCCACCGTCTCTTCTTTCCCGCGATGGACGGATGAAAACGGAGTTCGATCGACTCGTTGTCGCTTTCAAGTCCGGCGCGCTGATTTCCAGTAAAAATACCTTCTTTTTTCCCTCATTCCTTCTCTCTCTCTCTCTCTCTCTCTCTTTCTCATATACGCACGCGACGAGACGAGGTTAGTTCATTGTCTTTGAGACGAGATGCTCGATACGATGCTCGAGGAATACGCGAATGTATCGCGGGGGCGTGTAGGCGAGCATGAATCGTCGTAACTCGGGACGACGAAATTTGTGGAGTTGAAAATTGTATAATACTTTTTTACAACGACTCGATTAATTGAATCGAGCGTCTGATTTAAATGGAAGCCAGGTGGTTTCTATCCTGTGTAAACGTTACGAACTGAGGCGTTCATTGATTGTGCGAGCTGGTATTATACATCGCAGAAATATAAATAATTTCCGTCCCTCTAAATTTAATCCTCTAACTGGTCTACGATAATATCATAAGTAAGTATACGAGGTAACGAACTTGACTTTAAACTGTTCAATTTTCATTCATTTATATTTGCTGTGTTTGGCAAGATAAACGTCACGTGAATGTTTGAATAAACTAAATTCGTTCAAACGAATTCTTTTAATTTCTAATCTATGACTTAACTGTTATAGACGTCGCACGAATACAAGCTTGAACCTCTGAAAAATTAAGTAAATTAATTCAGCTATAATTTAACAATACCAATTGAAAATTAATACTTTCAAATAAATATTTATTGTATAATTAAATACTGTTCAACACCTCGAATCAAAATTACAATATAATTTTAATATTACACAGAATGTATCGGAATGTACAAGTGAACACGATTGCTCGCAAAAAAGTTAAGAAAGAAATAGAGAAAACGTAGAATAGCATTTCTTTTGTAAGAAAACAAACTTTGAACATGCTTCATTACCTTGGTACATGTGTACTTGATAAATTTTCAAATTACGAGCTTCAAACAAAGTATCTTATATAGAAATTTCATTTCGTATTGTTCACTTATTTCCCTTCTGTTAATTAATCTATTCTGTCGCGTCTAGAATTAATTCAACTTCAACAAGTTGGTTTATCAAGTATCCACTTGATATTCCATATTTTGCCTCCCTTAAAATCATACAACTTTTGTATTAAACAATTTGTCATTCGACTTCAGGTGTGCAAGTTACAATAAAGAAACGAATAAAATTATACAATATATAAGAAACAATATATATATATATATATATATA